CATGCCCACAATGCAGGCACTTTACTACTCTTTCCGACTTGGCTTAGGTATTAGTTATTTATTGCTGTGTAATGAATTATTCCAATCTAACAGCTTAAAACAGCAGGTGTTATCTCACGTTTGCTGTGGCTTGAAAATCTGGGCTTGGCTTATTTAGACACCTCCAGCTACAACTGAGGTGTAGGCTGGCACTGCAGCCATCTGAAGACCTCACTAGGGAAGCTCCTGATGGATGTTGGAGGAAAGGAAAGATCACTTTTTTGCCACATGGCTACTGGCTTCCTTCAGAAAAGGAACAAACATGAAAAAAGCCTTTGTCTTTTTTATAGCCTAATCTTGGAAGTGATATCTGATCATTATGGCATATTCTTTTGGTTAGAAGAATGTAAGTCTGTGCACACTATAGGAAGGGCATTACCCAGAGGCTTGGAAGTGGAACTCTATCTTAGAAGTTGCCAGCCACAGCATCCCTGCCCACTGAAAGGGCTCTTGTTGATGTCCCTCACAACAACATTTAGTCAAATGCTGGTAGCATTTGCCCCAGATGGCTACTCCATCCTCCTTCAAATTTTCTACCTCATCTTCTAAGATTCCAAACCCTCTGATTTCCCTCTACTTTTCTGTCTTTAGTCTCAGTCTGCTTCATGGCATCCTGCCCCTTTATCCAACATTCCCCCTTTTCCATCACCTCACTGGTTAGGTCACTCACTCCCTTGGCTTTACCACCACTGGCTGAATGCTGATGGATTCCAAACATACATCCTGAATACAAACTCCTTCCCTGACCTCTGTATTTTTTTATTTATTTTCCCCAAAGAAACCTTTTTTTTTTTTTTAAGGAATACTGACTTCTTGCATTTCATAGTACATTTAGGAATATAGTGACACTTCCCACCATACCTGCCCTCCCACCCACTCTACCGCCCCTTCTCCTCCTCCTTCTCCCATTCCCAGTCCGATTCTCTATGAAGATCCATTTTTTATTAACTTCATATACAGAAGACCAACTCTATACTAAGAGTACAACAATTTTCATGGTAAAAAACAACAATAACAACAACAACAAAAAACAAACAAACAAACAAAAAAAACAAGAAACCAAAACCAAACCAAACCAAACCAAACAGAATGTTCCTCAACGGTTGAGACAAGGCTTGTTCAAAGTCATTGCATCTTGAGATTAATTTCACTTTTTTTTTTAGAAACTTCATTAACTTTAAGAAAGCACTTTATCTTTTATATTTTTTAGGAGCACGTAGACATAGTTATAATACAACTCTTTGAGGATAGAAGTGCTATATGGGAGGTTAGTGCACAGTGACTCTTGTTGTTAATTTAACAATTAACACTCTTATGTATGATGTCAGTGATCACCTGAGGCTCTTGACATGAGCTGCCTAGGCTATGGAAGGCTTTTGATTCTGCAAACCTCGTCAGAATTCAGACAAGGCCATAAGCAAAGTGGAAATTCTGTTCTCTCTTCAGAGAAAAGTACCTCCTTCTTTGATGACTGTTTCTTTACACTGGGGACTCACCCACTGAGATCCTTCATGTAGGACATTTTTTGCCTCAGTGTCTTGGCTTTCCATGCCTGAAATGCTCTCATGGGCTTTTCAGCCAGACCAGAATGCCTTACAGGCTGATTCTGACTGAACTCTGTATTCATGTATTCTGTTGCCCTTCTGACATCACCATGTACACGTACTGGTGGTATCTCAAACCACACAAGTCCAAACCAGAACTTAAGTTTTTTTTTTTTCCTCAAAACTTCTCAATCTGATTTTTGAAAATTCCAGTTGTCTGATATTAGAAAAATAAAATACTGGTCTTTCATTTATGTGGACTGTGAAGCTCATCCCCACCTGATTAACAGCTGTGTCTCAGCTCTCAGTGACGCCTTCCCTTGTCTAGATTATTCTCAATATCCTGCTCTTTTCCTTGTACAAATCACGTTGTTTACAACTGTTCCTTCCACTGGATGATAAGCTCTGTGAGGACAGGTAACCTATTTCTTTTTCTTTACCACTGATGCTCAACATCTGAAACACATCGGGCATATCATGGAGGCACATTAAATAATTCTTCAATTAAGAAATACAATATTTGCTACTGTTTGAATGTGTCTCCCAAAAGTATATATGTTGGAAACTTAATTCCCAAATATATGTTAATAGTATTTGAAGGTGGGACTTCTGAGGGGGTAATTAGGTGAGGTCATGGGCCATGGGGTCCTTGATGTAGTAGTGGATTTCTTTTTTGTTAATATTTATTTATTTGAAAGGCAGAATTAGAGAGAGAAATAAGGTTGGACAGAAAGAGAGAGTGAGATCTAGAGTGCACAAGAGAAAGATCTTCCATTTGCTGGTTCACTCCCCAAATGGCTGCAACAGCCAGGAACTCCACCTGGGTCTTCCATGTAAGTGGCAGGGTCCCAAGCACTTGGATCACCTTCCAATGTCTTCCTAGGCATTTTAGCAGGGAGCTGGATGGGAAATGGAGCAGGCAGGACTTGAACCAGCTCTCATATGGGATGCTGACATCCCAGGCAGTGGCTTGACCTGCTGTGCCACCACACTCGCTGCATTAGTGGAATTCTAAGAGGAAGCGTGTACAAGCTGACATGCTTGCTGTCTCATCATGTGATGCCCATGCTGTTTGGTGCAGCAAGAAGGCCCTCCCCAGGTGCTGGCACCTTCCTCTTGGACTTACCAGCTTTTAGAACCATGAACCAAATAAATGAGCCTTTATAAATGACCTGGTCTCAGGTATTTTTTATAGCAACAGAAAAGACAGTATTTATTGAAAAAAAAAAACAGATTATCCTATGGCTTTTAAAGAGCTGTGGTTTCTGTGTTCATTTTGGTTGAGGTGTCAGGTGAAGCAACAGGGGTCACAAAGAAAACATTGAGATGAAGAGACAGGGTAAAGAAAAAGATGACAGGAAAAAAAGTGAGAGAGGAGTTATTGAAGAGAGTAATGGAAGGAAGAGAAGGGAGGGAGGGGCATTGTAGTGAGTTGAACGCTGGCTACACCAAAGATAAATCCACATCATATCCCTAGAAGCTATGACTATAACAGAGTGGTGCTAAGTGGGTGGCTTTAAAAAAAGCCATTTATTTCCTCACGCGTTCGGAAGCCAGAGATCTGAAATGAAGGTGTTGGCAGGCTTTGTACCTTCTGGAGGCATCCTGGGAGGATCTGTTTCCTACACTTCTGGCCTTGCAGGCGGTTTGCCAGCAATCCTTGGCTTGTAGGCCTATCACTTCAGTCTGCTTCCACCTTTAAACGGTGTTCTCAGGTGTGTGTCTCACTTGTGTCTTCACATGGCATTCTTCTCAGGACAGCAGTCATTGGATTTAAGATCCACCTTAATCTAGTATGATCTCAACTGATTATGCCTGAAGAGAGTGATTTCCAACTAAACTCAACTTCTGAGGCGTCAGAAAGAACCTCACTTGGAAAAAAGGGTATCTACAGATGTAATTGAGAGATCCTTCTGGATCCGACACTCAGTGTGCTTATAAGAAACCCACAGAAGAGCAGGGACGGTGTGAAGACGGTTCAGACTGAAGTGATGTGGCCACTAGAGAGACACACAGAGGGGTGACTGTGACTTCTTTTCCATTAAATACCATTCAAAGCAAGACAAAAATCTTTTCATGAGTTAGATTCTGCTCTCAATAGTTGAGTTCTTAGTAAACAAGAATTTGTGAACAGCCATAAAGTTCAAGCAGCTTAATTCTGTAAACATGTTTAATGATCTTTTAGTGCACAAGCAACCCTTCAATGACTCTAACCTACTAAGAAATTACTCTAAGAAAATAACTGCTGTAAACTATGTTTCGTGTTATCTCCACTTATCTTGGAACTCCCTGATAATTCCCATCAGATTTTATCACACCTGGTGTGCAAGTTGTTGAATGTGTCTCCCCGTTAGGTTCTTCTTTATCTTGGGATGAGCTTTTCTTCATGCTTGCCTGATGTATAATTCCATGACATTGGGTACTGGGCAACCTACAGGTGGTAGCAGCTTAGATTTTTGATAGCAACTCATGCCATCATGATAATGCTAAAATAAATAAAGGAAATTACCCGATCGGGTCTCTTTCAGGTTTTCCAGAGTTGACCATGGAAGTGGAAGATGCCAAGCTTCCTCAAAACACCACGCAGTGTTTTACTGCTTCTTTATCAGGGTGCATAACAGAGAGGAGGTGATGTTCCTGCGGGGTCTACCAGTACAAAGTCCATTCGTTAAAACGTCAACACTGACCACCAGCTGGAGGATGGACATCAGACCCGCCTGGCTCCCCGGCCTCATCACCCCTGACCCCCTTCCTAGGGTGGCCCCCAGCGGCGTCGGTGGCTCAGTTCTGGGGGTCCAGCGCAGACCCCACTCCGCCCGAAGGCGGCTTCCAGGGCGGGAAGGAACTCGGAGCGCTCACTCCCAGCCCCCGAGGGGAAGAGCTGCGGACCCCCGCTGTCCTCCCCAGAGATGGGCTGAGGTGGGGCCCCAGGTCGAGCGCCTGGCCCACTTTCCTCAGGCTTTGGCGAACGCCGAGACGGAGGTCTGGTAAAAGCGGGCCTCCAATTACCAAGACAACGGCGCGCCTCAGGCGCCCGGGTCAGGGAGCCGCCCTCCCGCGCCCGTCAGAACGTCTAACTCCCCGCCGGACCCGGGAGACCCGAGAGCGCCTCCCCTCCCCCCGCGCGCACGTCCGCGCCGGCGTCGGGGCGGCGCCGTAAAGCCCAGAAGAAGCGCGCCTCTAACAAATGTGCTCCCCGCCGCCGCAGCTCCAACAGAGAAACCTGTGCCCCAAACGCACGCCGACCGTTCCCAAAGGCTCATGGCAGAGAAAGAGAGGCTGTCGGTGTGGATCTGCTTCCGGGGCGCTGGTGGCTGTGCCTGAGGCTTGTTTTAGTGACACCTCTGTCAGGCTTTGTGGCTCTGGCGCTTCATGACGCATCTCCGCCCCAGTCATTATGAAATTTCCTCAGACCTAGGTAGCGGCGGGTCTGTTAGCCCTACCCGGTGTCCAGCGTCCCTTCTCCGATTGCCTGCTCTTGCGGGCTTGGCCCTCGCCTCCGCTTCTGATCACAGGCGTTCGGTAGCTCGCGGCTAGAGCTAAGCGAGCGTGTGCGCAACTATCAGAAGGCGCGTGGTAGAGATGGCGGCGCTCAGTGAGACTTTCCTGTCACTGGATACTACTACTCCCAGCCCTCCTCCTAGCCGCCCGAGCTACCCTCTGCTCTTGAGTTTACAAGTGGCAATTTGACTTGCTCTGCTGCATGTCTGGAGGGACCGAGGAAAGTGTGGAGACGCCCCGGAGATTAAGGGATAGCAGCTCGAAAAGAAAAAAAGCCAAACAAACAAACAAAACCCACCCCCCCTAGCAAACATGAGGCTGCTGGAGAGGATGAGGAAGGAATGGTTCATGATCGGGATCGTGTTGGTCATCGCCGCAGCTAAGCTGGAGCCGTCGGTGGGGGTGAACGGGGGTAAGTGCTGCCCCTCAGCCGGCTCCACCGCGGAGCCCACTTCAGAACTAATTCAAGGAGGGGCGGCCCCAGGGGGCAAGCCCGGGGTGTCCTCTGCCCCTTTTGCAGATTTACCTCCCCAGAGGCCACTTGCAGCTTAGGGAGAGGGCAGAGGAACTGAGCACAGGTGGCCTGTGCCGTGAACCATCAATGACTTTCCTCGGCGTCCAGGAAGAGAGATGGAAACTTACTCCTCTTGCCTTCAAAGTAGCATCCTATCCCCAGGGACGCCTGGTTGCTGGGAGTTGCTTATCTATCTTGGAGTGGACCTCATCGTCTGGTCTGTTTCCGACTCCTCCTGCCCACGTTAAAAAAAAAAAAAAAGAGAGAGAGAGAGAGAAAAGGTGGAGGTAAAAAGGGGGCCCCCGCTGCTCGCTGCGTTGGCTCTGTGGCCCACGTGTTGGAGAGTGATGATTTGCTGCAGTCGCTGCCGCTCCTGAAACTCCCAAGCCGACTGACACGTTGCACTCTTGATTCCGGGACCTTACTTCCGTGTGCCGCTGGGATTCAGCGGCCGTGCTGGCCGGCTCAGGGATACACCCTGGGTTACATACCCGGGGCAGGGTGTATTCTTGCAGCACTGTGTGGGTGGGCCCAGTTAGGGGGCGACACTGGAGATGCCATTAATGGCTTCGAAATCCCTAGAAATCTGGTCCTACTGCTCAGACCCACGAATTGAACTTGTCCCATTCATTCGTGAAACTGACCTTGGGTGTCTATGGCCAAGCTTATTGGGGAGTTTCAGGCAGACGCAGCTGGGGCAGATGAGGTCAGAAGTGAACACACACGCACTTTATGGTAATCCTGCTTGCAAGTATATTTGAAGTTGCTTGTACCTTTTTGTGAAAACACGATGGAAATGAATGAAATGATCTCTCAGAATGATACAGGTTCCTTCTCCCCTCCACCCCCACTTCCTAGACATATGCCAAAAAGAATTATTTACACAGAGATTGTGGAGATGAAAGCTTTTTTGTTTGTTTTAAAGAGTTTCCTTCGTCTAGATTCAAGCTCAGAATTCGTGAAGGAGTATGTAACGGTGAGAATAAAGCCGTCATTCCTTGTGGTTTCTCCCTTGGAAAATACATCTCTTAGACACACTGCTCTGTGAGCTTTCCGGAAACTTTTCGGAAGCTGATGTCAGGTGATGAGCTCCTTCTCTCCCTGGAACCAGCTGAGTAGTGGGAATGAAACTCCGCGTGCCCTTGTGGTGTGCAGAGCTCCCCTCTGAGAGATTCTGGTGTTGGAGCCCTTGCTCCCTTTTGCAGTGCCATGACTGGTGATGGATGCTTGGACAGCTTACATATGCAGGGGCTAGGTTTGGCAAAATGCAAACATACTTCAAAAAGTTCATGGGAAGCGAATTAAAATATATGTTTCTTTTGGTGCAAAAGCATTGAAATCTGACATATTAGAAGTCTTCAAAAATGCATGGAAAATATCTATTCTGACAAAAACTATGCATGGATTTCAACTTTCTTTTTTTGCTCCAGCATGAACTTGTCTTTGAATTCCATTCCCCATGAGGTTTTTGAAGGACTGAGTTACCTTTCCCTCAGAGCTCTGTGGACACACATGTGGTTGAGTGCTGCGTCCTCTCCTCCCTGTAGTGTTGAGACAGACTCTATACTCTTCTTTTTCCTTTGGAATGTGCTTACTGAAGTTGTGGTACATTATTATATCTTAGAAACACTGCTTCCCATTTTCCCTAGTCCTCATGTCATTAACAGAGAACAGTTCATTTCTTTAATTATAACGGAGTAGAATGTTAAGAGCTGAAAAGACTTCCAAATATATTAAGCCTGCCTGCCTCTTTCCCAACTGGAGATACTTAGGCCTGAAGCCAGGTGATTCACCCTAGGTTAAGTTAGCTAGCTTTGGGAAGAGAAACAACTGAGACCAGGACTCCTTATTTCATACCACTTGCAGAATCCATACTAATTGTTCCGGCAAAAATCAGTAAAACTGAATATCTCTTTTAAGGAATATTACCACATGCTGAATGCTGACCCAAGGAAACACAGCAAAATCAGTTGATGTTAGACAAGAATAACAGCGTACCACATGCTGCTGTCTTTGATAGCTATTCCAGTGTAAAAGCTAATTTTGTGAAAACAACCTTTAAGCAGTTGTTTGGGATATCCTATAGAGGCTGTCGACCTAAGTTCTGTTGAGTTTTTAATGGACCTTCCCTCCTGCTAGACCTCTTGAACAGAAACCCACCTGCAATTTGTAGCACATCCATCTCCCTAGTTAAAAACAACGAAGAGCTAGCAAGAAGGAGAGGAATGGCAGCTGAAAACACCCTTCTCTTTATAGTGGTCTAAAGCTCTTTTTGCTTGGAATTTTTAACTAAAAGTTTCCATTTATGGGCTTTGTCCACTAGGAATGTGATTTGTAATACATTCACATCAGCTGGACAGTTTTCAATTGAACATTTTTCTAGACATTTTTAAATAGGAAAAGTTTCAGTAGTTTTTAGTTTTTTTGTGATACTTATTTTACCTTGGCCTTAATTAATACCTTAAAGATTGCACTGTATTTTTTAAAGTGTAGATTTTTTTCACTTAAAATTTCACGTATATGAGTTCCTTTAACAAAATCTTTACAGTCAGTTGGTGAATTAGTGTGACAGAAAATGTATAGATGTGGGAACCTTAACATTTGAGACACCGAATATTTTCTGAATGGAAAGAAGCACAGCAATTATCTGCTTAGATAATTTAACATTAACTCGGTATTCTTTTTACATTTAATTTAATTTTTAAATGTATAGGAGATTGAAAATAAATAGCCTTAGAAGATGTAAATCTGTAGTCAGATGTTAATGATCTGTTCTAAGGAGTCCTGAGCTGTCGCTTACCTTAGAAGTTAGGGGTGTTCAGCACTGTGCCATTTGTCTTTGGGAAGAGAAAAGTTTGCTTCTTTGGAGGTTTAGAGTAAGTCTCACTTCTACCTGAGTCTTAACCCAAATTATTGCCCTTAATAAGACAATCCTAAAAAGGAAATTGCTTCATTTTTCCATTAAAAATATATCCTGAAACTGGCTATAAGTGTGAAGAATATTAGCATGAATATCTTAGCTTTAGAAGGGAAATTTACTTTGGTGATGAGGGCTTTTGTGGATTGGCAATCATTCCTTGCATTCCTATGTATTCCAAATCATTTTCTTTCTCCCTCCCATTAAAAATCATGGGTTTTGGAGCCCAAATGTTGCTTCTGATTTTATGCTTAGCTTTTTTTTGGATTGTGATTCCCCATTTCATTTTTGTTGATAAACATTTAAAAATTTTGTTTAAAGTAAAACATACTTCCACTTTGAGCTTTATAGCCATTTTAAGATCTGAATGTGGTTTTCTTGTGACTTGGATGATATAATTGTTAGCTTGGGGAGGGAACAGATATAATTTTTATATTATAGTTTCAACTCTCACCTCTGTGCAAATATTTGCCAACTTTTTATTTCAGCCCTAGATGACTTCCAGTTCCGCATTCCCAACTTGGATGATCTGTTAGCTTCTCAGTTGATTATGTTTCAGAAGGACCTTAAGTTGCTCTAAGTCAAAATAAATTCCTCTTTCCTCTTTTCAGGTACATCATAGGCAGCTCCAGAATGTCCTCACCATACTCTTTCATGGATTGGAGTTATTTAGATGTGCAGATAGTATAAAAGACAATATACCTTGTCTCTAGGACTTAAAGCATTAAAAATTAGGGATCAACGTATTGAATTATGCCAGTTAGTTACTAGTTAGGTGTATTTACGAATGTGTGTGTGGAGTTCAGGAATAGTTAGCATCTTAAAAAAAAAAAACACTTTGTTGTTCACCTATTGTGGATGCTTCACTTGCCCCAAAGAAACATGCATTCTGAGTCAATGGCAAGTGTTTGCTGTGGAGACATAACTTTGAACTTGTGCCCTAACCCTCAATAACAACTGCCTTGATAATTCTAACTCCTCCTGTTCGGAAATTCTGGAGACATCACTGTGGATGGAACCAAAATGGATAAGAATAAGGGCTCATAAAAAGCAGGGGACTCGAGGGAAATAAAAATATGAGTCATAGAGCAGGGCATTTAGAATTCCTGGGAGCCATCTATCTGCTTCCAAAACAAGCCGGATTTCTTCATGTTAAAATCTGCTTCTGAATTACCCTCCTCAGCTGTTGGAGAAATATTGTTTCTGAGTGTGAGCTGCCGAGACAGACTCGCTCACAAGTGTAAAAATAATGTTCTTCTTTTTCAAAATTGTTCCTGCCCTGCAATGAAAAGCAAGCCTTCACTGGCCTTCACCCATTTGCTCCCTCCTCTCAGACCTCAACGAAATGATCTGTGTAAAGGGAGGATACACAGAAACACTTGCTGCAGTGTTTGAGAAATCTTTGCTTTTTTTGTTCAAGGTGGTGCAATAAATGCCTAAGAAGTAGTAAGTGCTCAAGAAATACTTTTAAAATGAGTGAGTGATGATTTCCTTTCCAAGCTTGGTCTTCTAGATATTTATTGAGCAATGCCTATAGGTACGGTGGAGGGCTTTAGGGGTATGGAGGAGACATGATTGTGGTCCTGTTGTTTGACTTAAGGAGTATGTGGGTTTCTTGGGGCTGTTGCAACCAATGACTATGAATCGGGTGACTTGAAACAACAGATATTTATTTCTCATAACTCTTGAGGTCAGAAGTCTGAAGTCAAAACACTCCCTGAGGGCTCTGCAGAGGGACCCTTCCTGGCTTCCTCCAGCGTGTGGTTGTTGCTGGCTGTCCTTAGCATTCCCAGAGTTGTGGCAGTGGCACTCCAACCTCCACCTCCATCTTCATGTGGCCTACTTTCCTTGTGTGTCTCTTCTTGGAAGAATACCATTCATTGGATTAGTGACCACAGTAGTCTAATAAGACCCCACCTTAACTTGATTATATTTGCAAAGACCGTATTTCCTAGTGAGATCACATTCATAGGTTCTGGGCAGATATGAGTTTTGGAAACATTACTTAATCCATTACAAGAGAGCTGAACAGAATATTAAATATGAGATGACCTCAGGTTTTAAAATGTTGGTATGCACTAGGATTTCTCAGTGTGAGCACTACTGACATTTTGGACACAATAATTTGTTGTTGGAAGTACTGTCATATGCCTTCCAGGATGTTTAGCAGAATTCTTGATCTCTATCCACCCTATGTTAGCAGCACATCTTCTGAGTTATGCCAAACAAAAAAAGTTTTTACACGCTGCCAGATGTCTGTGGTGGCCCAAATCCAGTGCTGGAGAACCACTGACATGTAGGTATAAAATGACATTTATCTCAGAACTGTGTCTTCTGAAAGAAAGTTACTGTTTGGTTAACCCATGAGATCTTCAAGTCAATTGGGTACAGTTCACATGCGACATTTTGTATGTCAGGACAGCCCCTGTTGTCCTCATAGCGTTAACACATTTGCAGCAATCGCTGCCTAATTCCAGGCAGGCCTGTCCTTGTGGGCGTATCACAGTACCCCAGGCCTAGCACAAGTTAATAATAACTACATTCATGGCCGTGTATTATACGTCCTCTCTATATGCTGTATCTTACTCCTGAAGTAAGTGCTTCCTAAGTGTTAGTAGAATGCATACTCTTGGGCTGATCCAAATACTCGCATGGATGCAAGCTTTTATTTCTAGTATCCTAGAAGGAATAAAATATTTGCTAAAGAGAAGGAAACTCCATCGAGTCTCTTCTTCGTGTTTGGTGGGGGGCATTTTGGTTGCTGGGGCAGCAATGGTACGGGCGATAGATCTAGTTAGGACTTACATGGAAGGTTTGGCCTTCCTTCTCTCCTGTGTGTTTTTTTATTCTTCTGAGGTGAGGATACAGCCATGATCCCTGCCTTCAGTTAGGCTACCTCGTAGCAAATGCTTTGCTCTGTCAGGACAGTTGAACACTAGAGGCAATGCTGATATTTAAAGTACCATTGGTTCTTCTCCAATAGCTTCCTCTTTCATACCAAGTTACCTACTGGAAATCCTTTGCTAACAGTAATTCATTTCTCTCTTTTTAGGACCACTGAAGCCAGAAATAACTGTATCGTACATTGCTGTTGCAACAATATTTTTTAACAGTGGACTGTCATTGAAAACAGAGGTACTGTCACCTATGGGGCACATGAATAGCAGAGAGAAACATTTAATTCGTACTTACTGTTTTGACATTTGAGGGTCCTTTTGGTAAAGTTGTTTATAGCTATGATCCCAAGGTTTCCATATGAGAAAAGATAACCTAGACTTAAGCAAAGATTGTGTGTTTTGTTCTTATGTCCTATAGGACCCTGGGATGTGGCTATGATGAATATTGTGTGTGTGTGTGTGTGTGTGTGTTTGTGTGTGTTTAAAGGTATACTTATTTATTTGAAAGGCAGAGTAAAAGAGATGGGAGAGAGAGAGAGAGAGAGAGAGAGATCAATCTTCCATTTGCTAGTTTACTCCCCAAATGACCACAACATTACAACAGCCAGAGCAGGGCCAGACTGAAGCTAGGCACCAGGAACTTGAGCCTGGTCTCCCTCATGGGTGGCAGGGACCCAAGCACAGGTCCTCTTCTGCTGCTTCCTCAGATGTGTTAGTGGAAAGCTAAATTAGAAGCAGAGCAAGCAGGACTCCAACTGGTGCTCCCTTAAAGGATGCTGGCAACACAAGCAATGACTTAACCCATTGTACCACAACGTCTGCCCCTAGATGTGTGTTTGTAAATACTTATTTATTTATCTATTTGACAAGTAGAGAGACAGAGAGTGCCCATTCCCTTTTTCAATCCCCAGTTGGTTGTAACACCTAGCCAGGGGCTGAAACTCAGTCTGGATCTCTCATATAGGCGGGTGGTGGGGACCCAACCAATTGAGCTACCAACTGCTGCCTCCCAGGGTGTGCATTTGCTGGAAACTGCAATCAGGAATGGCACAGTGACTTGAACCCAGGCCCTTCATTTGGGATGTGGGCGTCCTAGCTGGAGCCTTAACCACTAGGCCAAATACCCACCACTTGAACCTTTTTTTAATATGGCAACTGAACTTAAGCATCTACTTCAGGTCATCCTCAAATGATGATGGTAACTCATGGGAACCTGTTGTGCTTGGGCACATTTGCATTGTTAAAGCTTATTTTGATTTCCTGAAGTTTTGTGGATCACCTTTTGTTACCAGAATTCATGCTATACTGGAAATGCTTTTTGTGTCTTAACTCTTAACTGCTATTTGTTTACAAAAGCATATTCCTCTTTAGCATATCTACTAAATATTAATAGATATTTCAGAAGCAATATTGATAATTTTCAGAATGAGTCATAATCTGTCATGGAGACAGATAGGTGTTACTACTCACTGTTTCACTGAACATGGGATTCTCTTGGGAGTAAAGGAATCCAGATATTTTTACATGTGAAAGAAGAATGAGTAGGATTTAGTTTTCTCATTTGACTTGTAATGGAAGAAAAAAGGGGAGAAAATGCCCATTTGATTGGAAAAAATTATATAAAGTTATCATTCAGACATGCTTATTACTATGTAAATAAGGCAATCTTATTGTAAGAAGGAATTTTTTCTTTTAAATGGCTTTTAAAGTGAAAATTATGGTTCAGCATCATGTCTTGCTTTTATGTATTTTAAGTTTATTTTCTTGTCTTTTAAGTATGATTTCAATGAAGGCAAAATTTAATTACCTCCTTCTGAGATCACCCTAGTAGCCACATGAAAAATGTGATTTTACTAAATTAATGGATATGGTAGCTGTCAGGGTGATATTAATTTTTTCATTGTAATGTATTTATGTGTATATGTGTGTATGTACAATTTGTAGCGTCTATAGCTGATAAATTGCATATCAAGAAATGCAAATATTTTTGCTGATTGCCTGATCCTGTGAATGTAACTGGCATGGTATGGAATTCTCTAAAAATGTCCAATTCTGGTTTTGGTAAATCATACTGATATCACAGGGCTATGATTAGTGCTTCCAGGGCACAGGGTTTTTCTGTCAACAGTTAAGTCCTAATATTGGTTCTCAAATGTGGAACACAGTGATACAGAAAGATCTGTAAAGTGGTGTGGATTCTCTTACTTGGAAGTCTTACTCCTGCCCTGGCTAATGCTCTTTGTGGAGCAAGTGCCTTACCCAAGTCCTTCACTGGGGACATTGCTCTGACTACATCCCCTGATGGCTGCTTAATGGCTCCAGCTGCTACTTATACTATGAGAAATCTGGCAAGAGACTCTTCACTGCTTAGCTTCGTACTTAAAGCTGTTCTGTAAAGCAGCCAATTTCATAGATGTAGGAGTTGAAGAAGGAAGAGTGTCACAGCTATCAGTGTTTCTCTAAGGAACAACTTTCTTAAGTACATAGGAAACCTTCAGAGTCATCCAGCTAATTTGTATCTAATCATGAAATGCCTTGATCCTGAGCTTCATCGTGGTATCTAAGCGGCCATCAAAGCCATTTTCTCCATCAAAGGTCCTTTTCAAATGAATACAACATTAAGTCATTTTCAAAAGCCATTTAACTTAAGATGTCCTCTGTTGTATCTCTGTGTAACTTTAAAACACTTCTAAGCCCTGCTAATATCCTGGGCAACTAAACAGCTATAAGTTAGGAGATAGTAGTCTTGTTATTTGATTTCTAGTTAATAGTCACAAATTAATTTCTGCTGGGACTATGATCTGTATCTGGGTAGGTTCTAGAGTAGCACATTTTTGTACATAGGAGATATTCTGTAAATTATTGTTGCCTTGAGTTTATTTGGAAGCATTTATGTTGGTCCCATTTAATTTACATTGAACATTGCATACAGTATTATTCATATATTGATTTACTGAAGTGTATTTTAAAATGTTTTACTAATTTATTAAAATTGTAAAGGCAACTGTACTAATGTAATAGTAAATCTTCAATTTTATATTGATATGTAGTTTCTGAAATAACTGTTGAAATAATTTTTGAAATTTTATTATATTGAAGTGAAATAAGGTCACGCTTTAAATTTATTTTATATTTATTTGCCTTCGACCTGCAGTTTCAGACTTAGATTGTGGTAGTGGAGCCAATTCATTTCAACAAATACTCTTGAAATGCCTATGGGTACAAGGCACTGTGCTTGGTGCTGGGCATGGAAACAATGATGAGTGGGAGGCTTATGGCCTGGAAAGGGGTCCTGAATACTCTATTTTCCTAAGCAGGTTATTACTTTTTAATCCCATTAACTGAAAAGTAAATATAGCAAACTTCAAAACTGTAGGCCATGCTGCTTGTTTTAAGCCCAGAGCTATGAGACTGAGTCTCAGAAAGTGAATCAGATAAAGGTCAAATAAGGGCTAGACGGGAAATTGGTATGTAATGAAAATATTTCTACGTCCCAGTCAAAGCCCTGGTTTAAGCCATTCTTGATGCTGTCAGTGAGACTGTGGCATAATCAGTACATTATGTGGAATATCTCCTTCCTCTTATTTTAATGGAATCTGACCTGTATTACATGTGAATAAACAAAATGTCATGCAGAATCAACTTTTCAATTTTTCATGATGGTATTTATTTGAATATGTGGCCCTGAACTCTACATGGATATATGGGAATAATACAACTTTGGGTTTTATAGGGTTTTCTTGCTTCTTTCTTTTCCAGTGTTACTTTATCTTTATGGTTATTGGAAGAAGATATGGAAAATATATGACACTGGGTTTTTGTGACAGCCTTAAGCCTTTTCCTTGGAAACACTTATGTCTGTTACTTCTCTGTTTTTAAGGAGACCCTCATAGCCCATGGTAGTCTGTTGGGGCTCATTTTGCTGGGTACTTCTTTTTTTTTAAAGATATCTATCTATCTATCAGTCTGTCGATCTGTCTGAAAGGCTGAATGTCAGAGAGAGAGGGAGAGACATCTTTCATCTGCTGGTTCTCTCCCCAGATGGCTGCAATGGGCTAGGCTAAAGTGAACTCCATTAGTGTCTCTCATATGGGTGGCAGGGACCCAAACACTGGGGCCATCTTCCACTGCTTTCCCAGGTGCATTAACAGGGAGCTAGATTGGAAGTGAAGCACCTGGGACTTGAACCGGTACTTTGATATGGGATGTCAGTATTGTAGGCCATGACTTCCTTCTGTGCTACACGCCAACCCCTTTGCTGTATTCTTTTTTTAATTTAATTTTTATTTCTATTTTAAAAGATTTATTTATTTATTTGAAAGAGTTACAAAGAAATAAGGAGAGACACAGAGAAAGATCTTCCATCTGCTGGTTCACTCCCTAAATGCCCTCAACAACTGGGGCTAGGCCAGGCTGAAGCCAGGAGCCAGGAACTTCTGAGTATCCCACATGAGTGCAGGGACCCAGGAACTTGGGCTGTCTTCTGCTACTTTCCCAGGTGCATTGTCAGGGAGCTGGATCAGAAGTGGAACAGCCTTGACTCTAACCAGCACCCATATGAGATGCAGGTGCTGCAGGCCACTGCTTAATCAGCTGTGCCACAGTGCTGGCCCCTGTTGTGTTCCTTAATGTACCGTTATGCTGATGCAATGTCAGTTGTTGCTAATTGTCATTTACTGAATCAGCTAGTATTTGTAACTCCATTTTAGTTTTACATTTTTTCTGGTTATAAAAGTAGTATTTGCAGAAAGATTAGAAAGAATAAACATAACAGCTATTAAAATCTCTATATTTTGTATCCCTTTTTGTTTCCCCAAGCATTTTAAAATTTCTGTTTATTTGAGAAGGGGCGGGAGGATAGAAAGAGACAGACAGACAGGTAGACAGAGAGGGTTTCCATACACTGGTTCTATCCCCACACAGTTGTGAGAGAAGGGGCTGGGTTGAGGCCAAGGCCAAAGCTAGGAGACAGAAACTCCATTCATGTCTCTTACCTGGTTAGCAGGAACTCAGTTACTGGAGCCATCACTGCTGCCTCCCAGGGTACGTGTTAGCAAGAAGCTGGAGAGAGGAATTAGATATGGGTATTGAGCCAAGGCAGTCCAGTATGGGATACTGATGCATTAAGTGAGGTTTTAACTGCTAGACCAAATGCCTGTCTTCCTAACCATGTTTTATATTTAGAGTATTTATAAAACAAGATATATTTTAAAAAATAAAATTCTCTATATATGTTTATGCATGTACTTACAGACATATGCATGTACATACACCTATCACCTTATCTTATTTGTTGCCTGTAGCCATGAATTATTTTTGGGAACTTAAGTTTGATTTTTTTTTTACTTTTACATTATTTTATTCACATAGTTCAGAATTAAAAGGTACAAAAATGAGTGTGTATAGTAAGGAGTCTTCCTTTCATATCTCTACCAGATGTGTTTTCTGTGGAAACAACTGAGATTAACAATTTCTGTGTACTTTTCCAGAGAAAATTCTATGTAAAATATAGACACTTATATCCTAGTATCTTTAAGTTATAGTATTTTTACACTGACACTTCATGGTATTTTACTTGAAAGGATATTTTGTAGTTTGTTTCATATGATATAAAGAATCCAGTTTCATTTTGTGTGCCAGATAATGTTCTTTTGTACAGGTGTGTCATGATATGGCTATTTTGGTAATTAGCAAGGTTTTGGTATTACAAGTATATTGGCATTATCTACACTTGGGAACACAGGTGAAGAGATACACTCTGGAAGTACATTTGCTAGGTTAATAGTGTGCGCTGTTTAAATTGTTATAGATACCCTAAGTACCTAGGATGGTGCCAGGTGCTCAGTAAGTATTTCTAGAATTAAGGAATGAGTTGCCAGATTACTCTCCATAGATTGTGGCAATTTCCACTCTTTCTAGTGGCGTTTGGGAAAGATCCTGTACTCCATATGCTCATCATAGTTTTTAATAGCTAATAACACTTTCATTATACTTATTTAATTATTATTCTTATTTATTCTTTTGTAAAACTTATTTAATTATTCTCTGATTTTTGGACATTTGTTTCTAGATTTTGCTCTAACAGATGATATTTTGACCATCAAATTCTCTGTATAACTGTAACCTCTTTACATCCTTAGAATAAAAGCCTACACATAAAATTTGGGGTCAAGAATATAAATTATATTATGGCCCTTGATATATATCATCAAACTGCTTTTCAGAAGTGATGCCATCATCTTCAAAAAGTTGACAGAATTTGCATATTTTGAAAAATTTATGCATAGATTTAAAATTTTTGCACCATAGTAAACTTACTAATTTCATTTTCCACAAGCTTTTTGTGATACCATCCTGTTCCTATCAGAATTATTTTTTAAAAAGATTTATTTTATTTATTTGAAAGGCAGAGTTACAAAGAGAGAAGGGGATAGAGAAGGGTGGTTCCATTTGCTGGTTCACTTCCTAAAAGGCTGCAACATCCAGGGCTGGGTTAGGCTGAAGCCAGGAGTCAGGAACCTTATCCATGTTTCCCACATGGGTGCAGGAGCCCAAGGCCATGGGACATTCCCGAGTGTATTAGCAGGGAGCGGGATCGGAAGTGGAGCAGCAGAACTCCAGCTGTCACTGATACAGGATGCTGGTGTTGCAGGTGATGGTTTTACCTGCTATGCCACAACACCAGCTCCCTGAAGTATTTTCAGATCTCTTCATTAGTGTATTCTGGGTAATTACTTTATTATGACTTTTTTTAAAATGAAAAATTAATATTTCTTTCATTTTTAAAGCACTTTTTAAAGATTTATTTGGTTTGAAAGGCAATTACAGAGAAAAGGAGAGAGAGAAAGAAAGAGAGAGTATCTTCCATTTGCTGGTTCACTCCCCAAATGGCCGCAATGGCCAGGGCTGGGCCAGGCCATAGTCAGGAGCCAAGAGCCTCTTACTGGTCTCCCATGTGGGTGCAGGGGCCCCAGGACTTGGGCCATCTTCCACTGCTTTCCCAGGAGCATTAGCAGAGAGCTGGATTGGAAGTGGAGTGACCAGGACTCAAATTGGCACCCATATGGGATGCGGGAGATGCAAGTGGAACCTGTCATGCCACAACACCAGTCCCATAATATTTGTTTCATATTTATCAAATGCCTCTCAGCATATTTAAATGAGATTTGGTCTCAAGCTTGTTGAGAATTCTCTGAACTGCCATCACTCAAGAGTTCTCTAGGGTGCAACTGTAAAAATTCTGATTTATTGTAGGGATGCCTCATTTTCTCTCAGGTCTCTCCAAGGATTTAATGTTGCTTCTGGTAGGCTGGCATTTCCCGGTGGCCATAAGGGAGATCCAGATTGCCAAGAATTCCTTAAATGTCATTAGGGACATCTTGTGACGAAGCAGGAACTGCTGCCTGTCTCCGCACAGTGTGATTGATAGTGTGAGTTGATGGGACAGGTCTCAGAATGTGACCATGAGTGAATTAGTCTGCATTAAATCATTGCTATTCATTATTATGCTTACTATTGTTAAATTCACATTATATTTTAATTCCATTTTTCATTAACTTATTTATTTTTATTTGTTTAATTATTTGAAAGGCATTGTGTATGGAGAGAGAGAGAGAGAGAGAGAGAGAGAGAGAGAGGCCTTCCATACACTGGTTCACTCCCCGAATGCCTGCAATAGCTACACTGGGCCAGGCTGAAACCAAGAGCCAGGAATTTCATCCAGGACTCCCATTTAGGTGGTGGGGACCCCATTACTTAGGCCATCATCTGCTTTCTCTCAATGTGCATTTGCAGGAAGCTAGATTGGAAGTGGAGGTGGGACTGGATCTCAGGTGCTCCAATATGAGACACAGCACCCCAGTGGGCAGCTTGACTGGCTGTGCTACAGTGCCCATCCCATCCTTCTCAATGTAAAGGTCATGACCTTTGGTGAACATCTCTTGAACATCTCAGTTGAGCTAGGGGATCGTTACAGTTCTATGTTTTCCACCAGTCAAAACTCTGGCTTCAGTGACTACTTGCTGATTAATTATTCTACTACTGTTTGAATTTGTTTTATTTCAACTGAATAACCACATAATAGAAATTCAAATGCAAATGTTTGTTGGTTTATATATACTTGAAACCCAGAGGTTTAGTTCATTATTCCTTTTTAGTTGTGAGACATACAACATGTGTGCCTGGTTTGCCATGTTGAATGTGTATCCTTTTTGCTCTTGGATCAGCTGTATGATACAGTGGAACAAGCACAAGTGGGTCTGATAACATGCTAGAGGTAGGCTTGGTTCTGGTCTTCACCTATAGTAACTCATACTCTAATGGGGTTGTTGTGAGAATTAAACGAGGTAACATTCCTAAAGAGATAAGTTCAGATCCTAGCATTTAGCTGCATTCAGTAAATGGTTTTTTTTTTTTTTGACAGGCAGAGTGGACAATGAGAGAGACAGAGAGAAAGGTCTTCCTTTGCCGTTGGTTCACCCTCCAATGGCCGCCGCGGCCAGTGCGCTGCAGCCAGCGCATTGCGCTGATCTGAAGCCAGGAGCCAGGTGTTTCTCCTGGTCTCCCATGCAGGTGCAGGTTGGGCCATCCTCCACTGCACTCCCTGGCCACAGCAGAGAGCTGGCCTGGAAGAGGGGTAACCGGGACAGAATCCGGTGCCCCAACCGGGACTAGAACCCGGTGTGCCGGCGCCGCAGGCGGAGGATTTGCCTATTGAGCCGCGGTGCTGGCCTGCATTCAGTAAATGTTAACAACAACAAAAAAATCTAAGGAGTAGATTGTAGAGGGAAAAGTCACTTTAAACTATAGACAATGACTGAGGAAAACATTCAAAAATTATTAATCATAGCCCAATAACATCTTGTCAAATTGAGGCCTTCTAGTTTTGGTGTAATGAATAGAGATTAATTATTAAATTCGGTTAAAATGAGATATGTTGTGCTGAAGTTTTTTAAAATTTTTTTTATGCAGTTAAATATGTCCATTTGTTTATGATGTCAAGAATTCCCACATCTATACTGGTGTGAGGGTAGTTAGTTTTGTCCTGGTCCAAAATTTTACAAATTTGATATATTAGGGCATGAATGTTCCAGAAATTTTATATGAAAATACTATATAATCATCATGAGTAATATTTTTATTTTAACTTTGGTCTTTTATAGGTATGCTTAGAGATTTTAGCTATGAAGTAACTTACAGTCAAAAACTAACTCGTGATGTTATTTTAGTAATGATCTCTTTCCAGAAGTAGTTTTCTTATCTTTGTTTATTTTGTGCCTTCATATTTTCAGGAGCTGACCAGTGCTTTGGTGCACATAAAACTGCATCTTTTTATTCAGATCTTTACACTTGCATTCTTCCCAGCAACAATATGGCTTTTCCTTCAGCTTTTATCAATCACACCCATCAATGAATGGCTTTTAAAGGGGTATGTATGTTTAAATCCTTTGAGGATTTACCGGTGTATCTCTAATGACTTCATTGTTTTTTATGGCAAATATATACCAGAGGCCTATATACTTATTTTAGAATTTTAATTTTTATTTATTTTAAAATGAGGATGGGGGAGACTGAGAGAGAGAGAGAGAATCTTTCATTCTGTGGTTCATTCCCTAAGTACTTGGCAATAGCCAGGGCTGGGCCAGACCAAAGCCTGGAACCCAGATGTAATTCCTGGTTTCCCACATGGGTGTCAGGGACTCACCTACTTGAGCCATCACTGTCTGCCTCCCAGTGTATGCATTTGCAGTTCGCTGGAATTGAAAGTGGAGCTGGGTCTTGAACCTAATCACTTTGGTATGGGATGCGGGTGTCCCAAGCAGCTTCTGAACAGCAGAACAAACACCTACCCCATGTGGGTTATTTTATAAGGAAAAAAAACACTTTTAGCATTATTATTTAAAACGATGATATTTCATCAAGGAGTTTCACCAAAGAATTATTTTTAAAAAATCTTAAATGTATCCGTGTAGTTAAGGTTCTAGGTTGGACCCTTTTCTGGAACTTTTAAAGAGTGATCTTGGGAGAAAAATGCAAGGGAGAATGTCATATCTGTATGCTATAGACTGTCCATTGGATGTTTTGGCTTTTATAACTTACAAAACATCCACAGATAGTGCTGATTCTGTGTCTTTTTAAAATAGAAGTGAGGGGCTAGTGTTGTTGGGTAGCTGGTGAAGCTGCTGCTTGTGACACCGGCATCCCACATGGTGCCAGTTTGTGTCCTGGCTACTCTACTTCCGATCCCGTTCCCTGCTAATGGTCTGGCAAAAGCAAAAGAAGATAGCCCAAGTGCTTGGGCCCCTGCCACCCACATGGGAGACCTGCAATAAGCTCCTGGCTCCTGGCTTTGGCTTGGTCCAGCCTAGGCCACTGTAGCCATCTGGGGAGTGAGCTAGTGGATGGAAAATTTCTGTCTCTGTCTCTCCCTCTCTCTCTGTAACTCTGTAACTCTATCTATTTATTCAAATAAATAAATAAAATCTTTCAAAAAATGGATATGAAACAAAGAAATTATATATATAGGATTTTTTCATTTGTTTGGTTTTATGTTTGATATAATAGCTGAACTAACAGTAGATTTTTATTGGACTATTTTCTTTAATTAAAAATATTACCATGTTTATTAAAGGGATTTAACAATTTAACAAATTATTCAAAGCGTTTTACAAGTAACCACATTTTAGTGTGATATTATAGCCAAAACCCTGAACTTAAGAGTTAGAAGGTTGAGTTCTGACCCTGTCCATAATGTACGACATTAAGCAGTATTGTTTAATAGTTTTGAACCTCAGTTTTCTGGTCTGTAAAATAAAGGTAATCATATTTTTACTGCCTCCTTAATAATGATATTGGGTATATAAATTAAAGACACTGATTCACTGATTTATTCAAATCATTCATTTAATTACTGCTATGTACTAGAAATTATTATAGTTGTTGGAAAAACAATAGTGACCAAAACTGACAAAGTGCCAGCTAGTTTTGCATGTGGAAGAGACTTGGGAGGTGTAGTTATCAATAAACACAGGAGTAAGTGATCAAGGTAGAAATAAGTGATGTGAAAAGAGTAAGACAATGTGATGTGGTTGAAAGCGGTTTGGCAGGCAAGTTGCTGATCAATTTAGATTGCAGAATTCTGAGGGCAGAATGTTCTAGGCACAGGAAATGATGCGCAGAACCTCTAGGGCAGGAACAAGTCTGATATGTGCTGTGGGAAAATAATATGGCTTAGAGGTGGGAAAGGTAGACAGGAGCCAGGCAGGCGGAGACTTGTGGGCTATGTTCAAGCATTCAGATTTTACATAGCCTGCTGAAGGAAGCTGTTTGGGGGCGGGGATTGAAGTGTGGGAGTGATGTGGTCTGATTTATTCTGGCAAATGATTGTTCTGGCTGCTGTGTGGAGAACAGAAAGCAGAGGGGCTGAGAGAAAGCTAAGAGGCCAGCTTGCAGACTAGAATGGAGCCAGAGCTGTGCAATACCGATAAATGAATGTGTGGAAGGTAGACTTTAAAGTGAGTGCTCTCACCACCTGTGGATGGAGAAGATTGTAGGGTGAGAAGGAGAGGAGGAATCAAGTGTGGTAGGAGCCACTGGGTAATTGTGGCATCATTTACATAGCTGGGGGGAAAGAAGAGGAGAGGTGTAACTGTTTTCACTATAGCTTGAGTTTGGGAGAAGGAACATCAAAGCTCACGCAAAAGCATAAAATGCCATCTGAATATGATATCATTTTAGACAAACAATGTGCTATGCTTATCAAGAACCAGTAGTTACTGAATATCTAACAGGTATAGGGCACTCAAGGGATAAGATAATATTAACTTGTTTCTGTTTGTCTTTAACCTAGTTGGATACATAGGATAAATTGTGTGTGTGTGTGTGTGTGTGTGAGAGAGAGAGAGAGAGAGAGAGAGAGATCGATCTACCAAAATGGGGCGTGTGATTTGTCACTTGGATGTTATAATTAGTTCAGCAGAGTTGGATATGGTGAAAGTAGAGTTCAGAGATGAGGCTTTAGTGGGAGACAAGATAAAATGTTTCTTTTGGGCAAACTTGCAGAAGACCTGGACCACTGGGGCGAGGAGTTTGCATGTGAAACTATAGATGATGGAGAGAGAGCCCATGAGTGCTGAACGAGAGAACAACGTGCTAAGAATTGGATGTCAAGGAAGATTAATCTGAAAGCATTGTACCAGTCCCAGTATGCTAAATGAAACAGGTGTATAGTTCTCACCTTACGGTCTTAAAGGAGTACATAGTCACCCTACTGTACTTACAGAAAGCTCTTTCAGCTCATTTCTCTCCCATCCCCTCTCTCCTTCTCCTTCCCCATTTGAGGGTACTATTTAATATGTTACCCTCAGGGAGGTATAGACTCCTACCTAAGAGTCACGGGTAAGGCATTGGAATGAAGATGCTCTGAGCACACACTCCTTGCCTTGCTCTCCTGAGAGGACAGTGTGGAGCAGACTGTCCAGCAGGACTTTGTAACTGTCCAGATGTCGGTGAAGGCGTCTGAGCAGTCATGAAGAGGAATGGAAAGCTGGTTATGTTGACTGATTGTTTATGAGGAGCAAGTAGAGTTGCATATAACTCCAGAGATTCAAACTGGATTGTTGGCGGGGGGGAGGGAAACACACCAAAATTGGCCTGGGGCAAATATATACTTGGAGTATTCATATTGCATATCAGAGTGCCTGGGTGCAAGTGCCAATTCTGCGCTGGATTCCAGTCTTCTGTCAGTGCGTACCCTGGGAGGCAGCAGCAGGTGATGGCTCAGTTCCTTGGATTGCTGTCACACACTGTTCCTGGCTCCCAACTCCAGCCTGGACCAGCCCCAGCTGTTGTGGACATTTAGAAAGAGAATTAGGGGTGTGGACTCTGCCTGCCTGCCTGCCTGTCTCTGTCTCTTTGTCTCTCTGCCTTTCTAAAAACAAAACAAAGCAAAAAAAAAAAAAAATCAAACTAAACAAAAAACTGTTCCCATTGACAGAAACAGTTAAATTCAGAAGGGAGATTACATTTTTATAAAATACATGAATTTGTTCCAGAGATTTGTTCTACAATACATGTTTTATATTAAAAATGGCTGAGTAGATCGTATATGTTTTCACCATATAAAAAAAATAACTATGAGGTGATAGATATGGTAATTAGCTTGATTGTGGTGATCATTCCTCAATTTATACTTATATCAAGATTGTTACACTCTAGTCTGTAAACATACAAAATATTACCTTATCAGTTATATATCAGTAAAGTTATACAAATAAAAAATATAAATATAATATAGGATGTGTTTAGTTTGAAGTGCCAGTCATAGACAGCTCTAAATTTAAGAATGGAAGCTAGAGTAAGACATAAATTTGAATGTACAGGCTACAGACTGAAAATAGGATTGAAAAGAAAACAGGAGTCAGCAAAAAACCAGAATGGGCTGGTGAAGGGAAAGAAGATAAATTAGGGTGGTGAAGTACAATAGTAACCAAGCAAAGATAATACCCTGACAAGCAGGGATGGGAGTAGAATGAATATGGGAAAGCAGACTTTGGAATCGGACATTTGAAAATCACTGGTTCCTTTTCAAGTTGCTGCTTTTTCTAGTAGAGAGGACAGAAGTTGCATTCCAGAAGAGTTAAGAGAGAACGATCTGTGGAGGGTGATAGAAGTAGATTACTCTTTGAAGAAGGCCAACAGTGAGACACAGTGGAAGAAGGAGGATTGTAGTTTGCGGAGGCAACAGTCTACCTTTTCTGTTAGTTATGTACATTTATGTATTGAATCTGCTGTCTCCATGAAGGCAGGAATAATGTCTTTTTAATACTTCTGTGTAGCATCTTGTTCATGGATGTCGTGTATATTCTGTTTATATAGTTTAGGTCTTTAAGAATGGGGAGAATTCCATGTTTTTGTTTTTGTATATAGAAAGGACAGGGCCAGAGAGGAAAGGATTCAAAAAGTTAGAATGATTGGAAATACCTCAGTGAACCTGTCCCTAGTGTAGGTGGTGGGGAGATAGAAGACCTGGGTGCCAGAGTTAAAGTTTAACTCTAGAGAGCTGGCTTTGTGAGTTTGGAAAAGTTACCTAACTTATGTCTCAACTTCAGTTTCTGGCAAAATGAGAAGAATAATAGTGTTCACCTTAAATTATTGCGAGGAATAAGTGACATAGTACATGTAAAGCATCTAGAGTAGTATCTACTACAAATGATGAATGCTCAGTAGGTATTAGTGATTATGATGATGAACAAATAGGAAGGTCAGAGGTTGGTCACTTATACGATCACAGACTACATCAGCATCTCTTAGAAAACTGGACTGTAAAAGAAGACGACATTGAATTAAATTGAGATGGAAATTCCATAAAACATCCAAATAAATGAAAACTTTTTTTAAAGTTTAGGTGATATATTTTATAAAAATGAATAAAAATAATCTGTGTTCACACCCATTCAAAATCCATGTAAGTCTGACAGATTGAGTCCTCTATGCCCCATGTGGACTTTCTACTCAAGGCAGCTACTTGCTTTCCCCAGAAGGCACATCTATATGAATTATGCGTAGTTTTAGAAAAATTTTAGTGTTTTGGCCGGCGCCGCGGCTCACTAGGCTAATCCTCCGCCTAGTGGCTCCAGCACACCGGGTTCTAGTCCCGGTCGGGGCGCCAGATTCTGTCCCGGTTGCCCCTCTTCCAGGCCAGCTCTCTGCTGTGGCCAGGGAGTGCAGTGGAGGATGGCCCAGGTGCTTGGGCCCTGCACCCCATGGGAGACCAGGAAAAGCACCTGGCTCCTGGCTCCAGCCATCGGATCAGTGTGGTGCGCCGGCCGCAGCGCGCCGGCCGCAGCGCGCCGGCTGCAGCGGCCATTGGAGGGTGAACCAACGGCAAAGGAAGACCTTCCTCTCTGTCTCTCTCACTGTCCACTCTGCCTGTCAAAAAAATAAAAATAAAAAAAAAGAAAAATTTTAGTGTTTGAATTTACTACTCATATTTGAATTTGCTTGTCATGTAGTTTGTTTTCTATCATGGGAATCGGATTGAAGATAGATATATTAGAATTTGTTCAAGTACGAGTGAAACAATCTATGATTGGATCATGCCTGTTTCTATAATTTTATTATAACATCTTTTATGAAGTGTAAGTTTGAGAAATGCTGTTTTATAGAAAGAAATCCAAAAATGTAAACTTGTGTTTTATATTATTTTTTTGAATTTGGAAGTGGTTTCGAAGTTTAAACCAAAGGACTTCTTAGAAAAGAAAGCAAATAAAAGATTTTATTTTATGTGAAAATGATCTCAGACTGTATATACCTACCAAATTCTGAATAATTTTGATTATCTTTTAGTGAATTATATACTCACTATAAGTAGCTGGGTTTTTTTAAAGATTTATTTATTTATTTGAAAGCAGAATTATAGAGGGGCAGAGGCAGAGAGAGAGATCTTCAATCTGCTGGTTCACTCCCCAGATGGCCTCAACAGCCAGAAATGGGCCAATCCAAAGCCAGGAGCCGGGAGCCAGTAGCTTCTTCCAGTCTCCCACGTGGGTGCAGGGGCCCAAGGACTTGGGCCATCTTCTACTGCTTTCCCAGGCCATAGCAAAGAGCTGGATCGGAAGTGGAGCATCTGGGACTCAAACTGGCGCCCATATGGGATGCCGGCACTGCAGATGGTGGCTTTAACCACTATGCCACAATGCTGGCCCCTAAGTAGCTATATATATATTTTTTAAGTTTTGAAAAGATTTTATTTATCTGGGGGGGGGTGAGAAAAAGAAGGAGAGAGAGAGAGAGAGAGAGAGCCTAGCATTCCTATCTGCTGGCTCACTCACCACTTGCCTGCAATAGTGGGGAAGAGAAGAGCTGTGAATTCAGTCTAGTTCTCCCAATCACTTGAACCATCACCACTGCCTTCCAGGGTCTGCTTTAGCAGAAAGCTGGAGTCAGGAGATGGTGCCTTAGCACGGCACTCTGATGTGGGGCAGGGGCAACCTAACTGGCATCTTAATCGCTAGGGTAAATGCTCTTCCCTGTCTTTTTGAGTTATATAAAAGAGCTTAAATAACTTAAAAATAAACTCACTCAAAGCCTGAGGGATGAAATGAGAGCTTGGAGCCTGTGCATTTGGAGCATCTTCTAGGCCAGGTCACCTCGTGTAGAATTGTCTAAACACAGAAGGGCAGGTGCATCAGTTAACACTGTTCTGTCTTCATTTGGTCAGCTCTGCCATTTTAGAGTGAATGAAGTGAAAGCTGTTTGTGATTGAAAAAGCCCTGTAATTGAATTTTCTTTTATTTTTCAGTTTGCAGACAGTAGGTTGCATGCCTCCCCCTGTGTCTTCTGCAGTGATTTTAACCAAAGCAGTTGGTGGAAATGAGGTGAGTCATGGGGGCTAACTTTATACTTAAGTGCATGCTGTGTTTTGAACGTAGTTTTAAACCTGAATGAGTCATGTTGCCGAAAACTCGTAACTGCAGCCACTGATGAAAGGAGCCAGGTGTGTTCATGTACCAGGGGGAAGCTCAGATTGTGGTCATGAATAGAATTTGGAATTTCAAAGAGAGGAGCAAAGGAGATGAATAAAGAAGCATTGGTGATTTCCTCTACTTCAGTGGGAGGTTGGGACACAGAGGATTGAAGATTCCAAGGAAAAGGACTTTTCATCCAAGACTCACAGAGGACAGCTCCTATGGCTGTTCTTTAGTTTCTAAGAAACCAAAACCCATCCAAATGGGCAGGGGGAAAGGTTGGTGATGAGGCCATAACAAGAGCATTCAGGCCAGTTCTCTAGGACAAGTTCAAAGAAATTATCCGACTGCTCGGGGACAGTGACAAAACGTGCTTGTGCATTGGGGTAGCAATCGCCCATTTCAGAAGCTTTTAAAAGTGTGTCTTTGTGGCAGAAAGGCCTTGCGACTCATACTGAGGAGCTTTTGGGAAAGCTTGTTCCTCCTCTTCCACTTTTATTTTCTCGTTCAGAATACTATTGAATGAAGATATAATGAGTTGGTTCCCACTTCAATTCATTGCTATGATTCTGTTTTCTTAATATTATTTCATTGGTACTTACTTAATCCTTCAAAAAGTATTTATGAAGTACCTGCTATCTTCTCTTTTAGAATAAGTTTATTAAATGTGATTAAGAAATATGAAGTGCAAGCACTTGGCTTAGTGGTTATACACCTCTTTTGATGCCTGTATTCCGGGTGTGGTTTGAGTCCTGGATATCCTTCCGATGCAGCTTCCTGTTAATGTGCACCGTGAGAGGCAGTGATGGTGCCTGAAGTGGTCCCTGCCACCCACGTGCGAGAGCTGGATTGATTTTCAGGCTCCTGGCTTTGGCCTGTCCTAGCCTTGGGTATTGCAGGCATCTGGGGTCTGAACCAGTAAGCTCTCTCTGTCTCTGTCTCTATGCTTTTTAAATAAAGTAAAAAATTTTTAAATTTATTGAATCCTTGCTGCATTTTTAAAAATAGGCTTAATAAAGCATACAATAAGCTGCAAAAATCTAAGCAATTTAAGGTTTTAACATATGTGTACACCTGTGACCCTGAAATCAAGATGAAGAAGCTACCCACCACCCTCAGAAGTCCCCTTGTACCCTTTGACATCACTTCCTCCCATTCTCATGACCCCTCCTGACCTGATTTCTGTCACCGTAGACTTGTGTGTGCTTTCTGGAGTTTTATATAAGTACAATAAGTATTCAATATGTCATACAATAAGTATTCTTTTATTTTTCTTTTCTGGCTTCTTTTACTCAGCACAGTTATATATTTTGAGATTCATCAATATTATATGTTTATTGCTAGGTAGTGTTGTTTTGTAGGCATATACCAGTTTATCCATTTGCCTGTTGATGGACTTCTGGGCAGTTTCTAGTTTTAGGCTGTGAATATCAATGGACACATCTTAATGTGGATATGTATGCTCATTTCTCTTAGGAATGGCTAGGAGTGGAATGACTCAGTCATCTGGTAGGTTTATATTTTAGTGCAAGGAAGAATCATCTATAGTTATAAATCATCTAAGACCTTCTGAGATGGACAGTTTACCACTATGTAAGCATTCTTTTACCACAGATATATGTTTAACTTTCTAAGAACACTGTTTTTTTTTTTCTTACTATTTGTTGACTTCTTTATTTAGTGGAGGCTTAAGCTTATGATCATAAAATAAACAAAGTAAGTCATTATAAAAATTAAAAGAAAAACTAAGAAAGGAAGGAGGAGGGAGGGGGAGTGTAGATGGGAGGGAGTGTAGGGTGGGAAGAATCACTATGTTCTTACATCCTAAAAAACTGCCAAACTATTTTCCAAACTATTTGTACCATTTTATATTTTAGTTATGCTAAATAGAAATTATCGGGGACCTTAGCAGAGTGGCTTTGATGGAGCATTGGGACAAAAGCTTGTTTGTAGTGGGCTCAAAACAAAGCAAGCAAACAGAAAAACTAAAGAAGAAAAATGGAAAGAGAAGAATTACAGGTAGCTTTGAGGTTCTTAGTGATAAAAAGGAGAGGAATGGAGATATGTTTTTTTTTTTTTTAAGTGCAGCTATGACAGTATATTTCCATTTTGGTGAGAATGGTACAGTAGAGACAGAACTATTGATATAAGGGAGAAAGAGCAAGTAGTAGAGTAATATATTTGACCAACTGAGAGAGAATGCAGCCAGGTTTTATGAGTCTCAGTAAGAACTTGGACCATTCAGAATGATAGAAGGGATGGTAGAGTGTGCAGACAAAGGTGCATGTAGGTGGACACAAGGGGTGCACTTGGGTGTCCTGTTCAATGGCTTTTATTAACGGGTAGGAAGCAGAGTCAGCAGTTGGGCTGGATGATGGGGTAGGTGGTATCAACGTTTGAGACGAGAAGTGTGCTGCTTTCCTCTAAGTGAGGAGAGTGGGTTGGCTTGAAGTTGTGGTAGGGTTGGGAGGCAGCACTAAAATCCTAACTGAGACCCATAGACATGTATTGAAAGTGAAGCCAGGCATCATGGCTGTATGTTTTCTCTTTGCTGCATTTAAATTCTTGGAGTATGAGTGGTATTGACTTTATTAAGCCAGGTAATTATTTTTAGTTGCCACAAAATTAGAGAGAGAGAAAGGAGTTATAGGAGTCTTGCACTAATGCCCACTATGGTTTTCTTCCTTCTTTTGCCTTGGAAGAATTTCATATTTAGTTCTTTTATGGTATGTGTAAGACAAATGTTAATTGACTTGAAGGTGTCATTTATCACTTTCTAATGTGATTCCTGTAAGAAGTATATATTCTACATGGATTTAAATTAAAAGACTAGAAAAATCTTTTTGTTCTTAAATGACTTTGGTATGACTTCAAAGTTCATCCATTTTCTTGACATTAACATATAGCACTGGATTCTTTTGAAATGTATTTACATGTCGATTCCTCAGTAGATATTTAAATTATTTACATTGAAGTAGCAGGTTAATAATGTGGAATTTAGAAATACCTGTCTTATTTGGTAAAAGCATGGGTTTACTTCTTTAAGTGTTTATATTGTGGACCCTCAAGATTATCAAGTGGCTTTGTAGACCTGAGGAGTAAGATATAATTTTTCATCAATCTTGAAAATCAAATTTCAGAAATAAAGTCTGCAGGGTCCAGTTTAGTCATATCTTCTGATGTGAAATGAATAGACTATTTCACATTTACATCAGATTATGGGAGAAATAATCTAAAAGACAAGACAGTAGATTTTAAGTTTAATGTATTTCTTAAATAATGTTATTGGATAATTGATTGAGGGCTTTCATTGAAGTAAATGTAAGAGAAGATCCATCTCTTGTATGGTGTATCGGGAAAAATCTTATCAAAGGGTGGAAAGTGAATCTGTTGGTAGGTGTAAATGGAGAGGTCCAAAAGCTGGATCCTGTGCCGGATGCCCAGTCAGTGGTGGTGAACCTGTTTTGGTTATTCTGCCAAGAACCGTTTGGTTATTTATAACATCATTTGCAGTCCGTACAAAATTATCAACTTCATAATCAGCCTGCTATAGATTTATTGACTCTCGAGTCCCACCTGTGGCTTCCTTCGCAGGGGCAGACCAGATGATTTCATGAGTCTTTTATGCCCCGTGGACAGCTGGTCCCGTCTCCTGCTAGATGAAGGTTCGGATCTCACCTCCCTGCAGTTCTGTTTTGCCTTGCATGAAGGGCTTCCTGTCTCACCATGATAGTAGAATTGCTGTGGCATGTTTCCGCATTGCACTCTCCTTTCAAACTGACTGTACTTGGCAGTGTTTATGATATGTCCAAAAACTTCTTCCTCCAGGACTTTTTGTTACTAACTTCTTTATGTTAAGTGAATGTTTTGGTATATGTGCCTACCGCAACTTTATATATAATATGTGCATGTTTTTGTATACTCTCATTTAGTAAAGAAAGTGTGGTTGTGCAGTATATTTGCTTTTAATGACTTGGGGATGTATGTAGATACAGTGGTATCATTTGAAATGATTCTTTTACTTACTTTGTAAGTTGTTAGATAACTTAGGAGGAAATTTTTTTCCTGTTATATATGCTTTTAATTTTAAATGACTTTTTAGTAGAATTATTGATTACTAAGAGATTTTAACATGATTCAAAGAGTGATGGCATCCCTTTAAGTTTGACATTCAGACTGTGACAAGAAGTAGTCGTCTTAGTTTTTGTTAAGCTTAAAAATCATTTCTGTTATTACAACTCACGATATTTTTATTTCAGTGAGCCAACTAGAATTTATAATATTTTTAGTAGCAGAAGGAACTCAATGTATGTGCATGACAGTGTTTATACACTGGAAAGCCAGCATATCCTTTAGGTATTTACATGAAACTTTTTTCTTAAAGATTTATTTATTTATTTGAGAGGCAGAGTTAAAGACAGAGAGAGGGAGAGACAGAGAGAGATCTTCCATCTGCTTGTTCACTCCCTAGATGGCTGTAAGGGCCGGAGCTGGGCCAATCCAAAGCCAGGAGGTCTCCAACGTACAGGGGCCCAAGCACTTGGACCATCCTCTGCTGCTTTTCCAGGCACATTAGCAGGGAGCTGGGTCAGAAGTAGAGCAGCCAGGACTTGAACTGGTGCCCATATGGGATGCCAGCGCTGCTGGGGGAGGCTTAACCTACTACACCACAGTGTTGGCCCTAACATGAAACTGTTTTTAGAACTAACAGTTTTATTTTGTGCCTTTTTTACTTTTAGATTATTTTATATAAATACTAGAAATATAGTTGAATTCTTTTTTTTGTGATTGTTATTTATTAATACCAATTTTTTAAATGCAGTTTTTCAAAATTACAAAATGACCCAGTGCGCTATTGACGTAGTCTAGCTGGTGATGCAGGTAGTTGTGAGTGTGTGGTGTGTGGACAT